GGGTTAATTTACATCTTATTAATTAACCTGATCATATTCTAATACTCTCTAAAGTTTTTGGGAGTGAAAATAGAACCACGGAGTGAAATATTCGCTCTATTGGAGCAAATATTTACTCTGTTAGAGCGAATATTTCACTCCATGGTTCTATTTTCACTCCGAAACTTTAGAGAGTACTTTAAGCAGGGAAACACATTCGACTCGCACGAGAACGCGATTCGCACCTCTGCGAGGAAGGATGCGACAAGGAACGGAACGCGACAGTCGCGAGGACAAAGAATCGGTTCCGCAGATAATAAATGCATAATAAATTATTCACCTCACGGTTGCTCCGCCGGTGCCCGATGCCTCCCCGGGCCTCCTCCTCCTCCTCTCTCGCCGCTGCTCCTTCCTGGCACTCACACGGACGCGGCGCGCGCGCGCGCGCGCGCTCGTTCGTTTGCGAAAATGAGGTTAGTTACGCGGTTAATCGCGCGAGAACGAAGATCGTGCGGCATCTCGACGCGCGCTTTTACACGACACTCCCAAATCCCGAGGTCTATCGCACGCGACACGCGCTTCTTTACGCCGTGACGAACGGGGGGGAACGAGACGCCGTGAGACGCGAAATCGCGGGAAAACGAAGACCGCCGCGCACTTTTACGCGACACTCCCGAATCGAGACGCCATAGAGCGCGAAATCGCGGGAGAACGAAGGCCGGTATTCATAGTCGATTCTTATTTTAGTATCATCTTAAGTGTTGTCTTAAGACGCTAATACGGCTCTGTGATTGGTTAAAAACACATTAAGAGTATACTTAAGATGATCTTAAATATAAGAACGGACTATGAATACCGGCCGAAGACCGCGCGCGGCATCTCGACGCGCACTTTTACGCGACACTCCCGAATCGAGACGCCATAGAACGCGAAATCGGGCAAGAGCGAAGAGCGTGCGCGGCACCTCGACGCGCACTTTTACGCGACACTCCCGAATCGAGACGCCATAGAACGCGAAATCGCGCAAGAGCGAAGACCGCGCGGCATCTCGACGCGCACCTTTACACGACACTCCCGAGTTCCGAGGTAAGTATATCTTCTTCTTCTTTTATTTGTGGCTCCTGCCTTTGTATGCCAGGAGACAATACGGCCGTGGTTCTCTAGTCCAAGTTCTCTAATCCAAGTGGGCCGAGGGCTAATCAATAGTCGTGAAATATCTTCTCCAAGTTTCGGCTGCTTCGCTCCAAGACGCTATTAGTCGCCTATTGTGTCACGGTAGGCTAGTCGGATGATCTATTCGTAAGCGGATCAACACGCTTACCGAGGTCTATCGCACGCGACACGCGCTCCTTTACCCCGCGACGAACGGGGAGAACGAGACGCCACAAGACGCAAAAGAGGTGCGGACGATACGGCGCTCCGATCCGCTTGAAACGCGAGCTCACCCTGCTCGCTCGCCGATTGCCCGTTAACTAATTGTTGTTCGGCCGCCGGCGCGCGACGGCGTGACATTGGCGCGATGGATTTCCCGGAACTGATACGTTTTTCGTGCGGTATTTGATTCCCAGAAATCCGCCCACCCCCCTGAGCCCGGCGCGCGCCGCCCGAATGAGGGTTTGTTTACGCCGCGGCGCGCGGATGTGAAAAAATACATAGACTCGGCGCGCCAACGGACTTGCTATCAATACGAAATTTACTTACTTTAAAGCCTCCGCTACAATGATTCTCGGTTCTGTCTAGAATGGTCGTAGTCGTAAGAATAATCGACTGCGATTGGTCAATTCTTATCGAGCGACTACGACTACGACCACTGTAGACAGAACCGAGAATCATTGTAGCGGAGGCTTAAGCCTCGTCTACATAGAAGTCGTAAAGTCGTAGTCGTAAGAATAGTCGACTATGATTGGTCAATTCTTATGTGTCTGACGAAATTGACCAATCGCAGTCGACTATTCTTACGACTACGACTTTACGACTTCTATGTAGACGAGGCTTTAGTCCCAGTCTACAATAGAGATTTAAGCCCTAAGCCTTAAGAAATTGACTAATCACAGTCGCGCATTCTACTCATACTTGACCGTGATTGGCCAATTTCTTAAAGCTTAGGGCTTAAATCATCTATTGTAGACTGGGACTTAGATGCGTTATAAAACTACGCCGATATTCTGTTCCGGATTGTTTATTCCGTCGAACGGACTCGCTGTCACCACGAAGTATACTCATTGTAGACACGTTATAAAACGACGCCGATACTCTGGATTTTTCACACCATCGAACGGGCCGTCCGTTCCGGTGTTTCGTTCCGTCTGGTCTTTCGTCGGCGTCGCGTCGCATTGAAAGCGTTTTGGAAACTCGATAAAGGGGTGTTCTAAATGTTTAATTCCCATTCGATGTATGTATGTACGTACTGCTGTTTGACGTACTTCGTTGCTCGTAAATGATCGCATCTTTCTCGAGATTTTGATAATAATGTAAATGAATTGGAAATACTCACCAAGTTGATTTGATTTCATTTACTACCCTTAAAGAATCGCGTGTTTCTTCCAAAATACTGTTTTGTCATTACTGCGCCAATTACATTTTGTCGTAATTATCACCTATTATTATTCACTGATGACTGTCAGTAGGAGGGCGAGAATTTCCAATCAATGAGAGCCTCGCTGCGCACGATTGACCCGTCGAACCGCATTTCCCGCGGGAAATGCACGCGCGCATTAAAGGTGCCGTTCACACACGCGAGTGAAATTCCTGATACGTTCGTGCGGAGGTTCGAGACGGAGTGAAGAGATGGCAGTAGGTACACCAACTCATACGTACCTTAAGCTTCGAGATCATCCCTTCTCTCCGAAGCGGCTGCGCGCGAGAAGAAATTACGTGCCGCAATATTCATACGTTATTTGCCCCGGCATGATCGTACGCGCTCGCAAGGGGATTCCTCTCGCGGGCTAATTGGGAGGAGATGCGAAATTTGCTCGGTCCTCCGTGCTCGAAAACTCGTGTCGAATTTCCGAGGCACACAATAGACGCGATGGCGCGCGCATAAAGAAGACGGAAGGAAGAGAAGAGCGGGTCCGCACGAATGCGAGAAGGCGGTGGTGCACCGGTGGGGATTTACCACCCAGCGAAAAATTAATAAATCCTGCTCTTAAACAAACAAACTCCACCCACCCGCGGATCGGATAAGAGAGCCGGGCTATTGATTTATTAATTTAGAGCTGCCCATTCTAAGACGCGGCCGGGAAAGGGACGCCGGGGCGGAGGGGACGGAAAGAAAGAGAGGGAGAGCGAGAGGGAGAGTGGTCGAGGAAATATATCCGCTTGCTCGCTCGCGCCGGCACGGACGCGCTTCTTCGTAGCGCTTCGGGACCCGAAGTTAAGGGATCCGCTATCCGATGTGGTATCGGTAATTATAGCCCTGAACGCGGGCGCGCGTTGCTTACGTTCATTACTGAATTATCGGCTTCGCTCGGCAAACAATGTGCCTCTTTCAACCCTCCCTCTTTCTCTCCCTCCCCCTCCCCCTGTCTCGCCCCCGCACAACCCCGTCCTGCGTCGATCCTCTTCCTTCGAGCGCGACGCGATCGAGCCGTCTTCGACCTGCCCTCTCTGTCTCTCTTTTCCGTTCCCCTTCTCCTCCCCCCCTCCCGCTTCCTGCCCTCCACTCTCGTCGACATGATGCGCCACGGCGTACCTTCTTCTCGCTTCACCCTTGAACGGAATCAGCGTCCTATCTGATGGGCCACGGGCTGAACTACGAGCTGTGCGCCTCTCCCGCGACTCGCTCTCACTCTCTTGGCTCTCTTCTGATTCCGGTCTCTTTGCGGAATACATCGCGAGAACGGAGCGCGCCGATGCCCCTCCCCCTCCCTCGTCTGCGCGATAGCGATTACAATGCGCTCTGCGAAGTAGATATTGTTACCGATGTAATGGAGCCGAGCACGATTTTTCGGGACCCAAGTTTTCGAGTTCGTGAAGAGAAAGGGAAGAGACCGCGGTTAGCTCTCTATAACCGTCAGGCGGAATTTATCGTTGCGCCGTTCGAAACCGAAGAAGCTGATAGCGGTGTACTATTACTTCCTTTCTCACAGTGTGAACAGGAACTTAATCTGCCGGCCGATGTATATGTAGTATGCAAAATGCGCTTTAACGAGGCAAGTCGGGGAGACGAGATTAACCGGACGGGACCGGGGCGGAGGGAAGGAGCGCCGAACGGTTCTATTCGCGCGGGGGTTAAAGAGGACACCGACGAATGTGAGTCCACCTTAATACGGATTCTGCGGAGGCAGCGCGGCACTTGGAACGAGCATGGGGCTTACGGTATACCACCGCGGACTTATACGCGGCCCTATGAGGACGCGCGGCGCAGCGTGCTCTTTCGCTGCGTCATCCGCGATGAGGAACGCAAGAACGCGCATTACCCACGGATCGTCGTGGCTCCTCCGGTTCATCGTGCGACCACTCGAGCCACCACCACCACGGCCGCGCTTTTACTCCGGGCTTCTTTTTCGCGGTGCCCCGTGTACGTCCGCTGCGGATTTCGATCCGCGGCGACGCTATCCGCGCGACACGACGTCGCGCGGTGACTTTTATGGTCGGTTAGCTGGCGGCCGGATAAAAATCGCTGTACACTGGAACAGATATGCACGTCCGTCCGCGGCAATCGGAGATCACAAACCATTTGAGGTCGGAGGTGCTAATAACTTTCCGTCGGCTGCAGAACCACAGTATAACTACAGTAGTCAGTGGTCGAATTGGAGATGGAAGTCCAGGCTGAAATTTCCTCATTAACATATCGAGATCTCTGTGGAGAATCGAGTTAGTGACAGGTTAGCCACGGTTCATCGAGCAGAATGTCGGGACGTGTGAAGATACGACGAAGATACCGATTCGCGTTAATTCGCGAAAATCCATTGGAAACAATTGAACCTTCAACGACCGTAACGATCATAATTATTACATCACCGGAATAATTGGAACGGTCGGCAGGCGGGAAATGGATAACTTGGTTCGGAGGGTCGTGCCTCCCGAGACGCGGTGGCACGTGAACGATCGAAGCCCTTAATTCCCGAGCACGAGACGGCAGACGCCGATGATTCACGGCGAGCCGGTTATAGGTGGCTTCCCCCGCCGCGTCCTGCCGGCCCGAAGCTATTTTCTCGCGGCGCTATTTTCTGCCTATTCGAGGGCGAAACCTTATAGGGTACAGGTCATCCGCAGTCGTCCCTAGCGAGAGATTCCGTGAAGCCGTGGCTGATCCCGTTCGGAATCGTTTCTCCGACAGCGAGTTTACGATTGCCGGCGAAACGCGTTGCGGCTTCGCCGATGAAGCGGCGCGGGGGTGAGATGGGGTTGAGAGGGAAGACGCGTTCGTGGCGAGCGCTGTCTCGACTCGGCCAGGAGTCCAGTCTTGGAACACAATATTATAGATATTGTGGCCCGGTTGCGTTCGAGTTGCGTCGGCGGATAATTTATGCCGCGGCGATACCGCGCCGCCCAGTTCGCCCTAAAAATTATTTATTTGATTGAACGCCGCTTCGGGGAAGGCTATTCTCGGCCGAGCCGAGCCGACGATCGCTCGCTCGCGGCCACGATCCTCTCTCGCTCTTGTTCGAGAAAGGAGACGACGATGCAGGCGCACGGTGGCGCGCACAGGTGGCCGTCGAATAATCACGCGGGTTGCGTTCAGCGCGATCGAAATTGACGCACCAACGGCGTCGACAATTAACAACTGTGACGACACGGTTTGCGCGATATGAAAGTATTATCTACTTCAGTTCAGGCGTACCCGGGCATGTACCGAGTGCCTTTCAATAGCGCCGATTTTACGTCCATAATAATAGCGGTGATATTACACGGAGGAATAAATCGCGGCGCGTTCGATAGGCGAAGCGCAATGGATAATAGACGTTCGTTCTTGTAATTGGGTACACCTGTGAGGCTGAGCGATGTCGAAAGTGCGAGGTTCACGCATGAATCACGTATATCGACTGGTATACCTTCGAGGTCGTTACGTTAATCGCGAGTCAGAGATCGATGCAGATGCGCACGTTACTCGCTATCATCGCGCGAGTAGTCCACGCGAATGA